AATATATACCCCTGTTTATTATCAGTGCGAGTGATGAAAGTCAGCCTTCATTAACTCACTAGCAAATTTAAAGAAACATGGAGGTATTTGCCATTTGTTCTTTAGCTAAAAGGTTCAATTTAAACAGCTAGCCAACACGATTAGGGTGGTAGAGACGGTCCCAATTTCATTATGGGAGATTTTAACCTCTGTACCTCGAAAAAGTCTGTTAATCATTTTCATCACTATGTACAGTAGAACGAGGCATAACAGAGCATCAGTTAATGAAGCATAATTGTAAAAGGTTGGGAAAAGTAGTAAAAATAAGTAAGTAAATAATAAAGTAATGGTAACATCAGAAAGAATGGCTACGTTTTACTTTCTAAAACTTGAGTACTGATAAGAGAAGATACTTTTGTTAACTTGAGTAATTTTCTTGAACAAGATACATTTTCGGCCAAATTGATTTTTTTTTATTCCATGATTGTTTCTTTATGAAAGGGTCTTTCTCTCATGTGGAATAGCAGCAATTAATGAATACTTGATTATATAAGATTCTTATGTAGTCAAAGTTGTATCTCCCAATGAAGGCTTATACAGTATATGCCCCAATATTAATTGAAATAAAAAATAATTTAGAACAGAGAAAATGTGTGTCCAGTTAATCTTTTCTACCTTTTAGTGAACTCCACCTCAACGATTTATTTTTGTTTTGCTAAAAACAAAAGACCATTAAACAAAGAACAGCTAAACATTGCAGCTCTATACAGTATTTGACCTTGACAATCGTAAGACAGGAGATATTTAACATTTAAAGAAATATATTCAATTGCAATGTACATATTACATAATTAAGCTTTGTAAATGAATGTTTTAGTAGTGATTGCTACCAATATTAGTGTTATTTATTCTACCTTTTAAGAGTTGTGAACACATTATAACACTTGTATAGATATTTAAATTAATTATTCATTTGTATGATTCAATTAGTTATTTTGTGTATATTTATAACAGACTAATTCTCTGTTAGTTTAATTTAGAAATCTTAATCTTAATAGAATGCCTTTATCACACCAATATATTTTAGGCAAATATAAGATCTGTGTTGATCCTGATACAGTATGTGTACAGTATGTCATGATAAAGACCATTTCATTCCAAAACATTGACAATGTTTAAATTATTGTGGAGCATAGAGTGTTTGTAGAGTGTAAAGTATTGTGGAGACATCCAACTTTTGAAATTGTTTTTGATTCTCATTGGACAGAACTTCATTAACTTCAGGTGTACATTCATTTTTTCTGTTTTTGAGGATGCTCACACAAAATAAAAGAAAAACCTAATGTCAGTTTCCTTTCCCTTTTTACTTTTTACAGCTTTTGGCTGTGAATTTACCTCATCAGCAGAGTCTCAGAACTATGTATGGGTCGTCGATCTCATTTAGTTGTGACAAGAATTTGTATGTAAGTACATATTATTATTGTCTTTTTTATTTGCTTTACCACCCCACCCCCCTTGAAAAGCACTGTGGTATCAAGTGCATATGTTCACTCTTCAAAGAGGTGCCACCCATAGTGGGGGTGGGAGGTGATTTCTTAAACTGCTTTGTTTTTTATGTTCTGTCTTTGAACAAAATTGATACTTCTAATGAATCACAGAAGTAATGAATCACAGAAGTGCGCATATGTTCATTAAGGGGGTGGTAATTAAGAGGTGTCATTTCCATACTGTATATAAGCAAGTCTATTTCTTCTGCAGGATTACAGATTGGTGCACTTTTATTCATCTTGGTGAAGTTATATGACAGTATAAACATAAAAGAGAACTATTCTTTTCAACAGCTTTTATGACATACATACAAAGGTCTTTGTATCAAGTTTCAGGTCTTTTTTTAAATAATCGTTGATTTTGTTTTAGGGAGATGTTTTGGTTGATGATGGGAATGCTAAAATTATTGAACGACACATCATGTTTGATGTTGGAATCGCTCATGGGATTGATCAGCTCCTGGAACCTCCGAATATGGGCGCTCGTTGTGACAATTTTACTGAAACAAAGTCTTATGTGAGTCCTTATCTCTCAAGTCTTTTGAGGAGTGGAATGAACTGTCACATTTTGTAACGAAATCTCTGTTGCTGTTTTTACAACAATATTAAAAGCACTTTTTTATAACCCAGAATATTGACCTTTGCAAAAGGTGCCTGTTGTTTGATAGTGCTTTTAGTACAGTATATTTATTTTATATTTGCATTGATGTTGTTGTTGCTCTTCTTTATTCTTGTCACTTTCAATTTCAAGGTAGAAGGCTTTTATAGTCCTTTTTATTTTCTCTCCCGAGGTTACAGTACTTTAAATATTTTCCTTTTTTGGTCTTAACTTCGGGATGATCCTTTTGTGATAAGTGCTGTTCAAACATATAGATTGATTAACTGATTAATCCAGATGCAAATAGGGTTTGGTTTTTGGTAAGATAAACCAACATTGACTAAAGACTTATTTTCTCTTTTCAGGGACGTTGTGGCAGCTGCCTTTATCCCCCATCCTGTTATTACGGAACGGTACCAACTGTAAGTATAACACAATTTGCTTAATCATCTTTTTATTTTTTATTGAGCTGTTTGATGGAGTAGTGGTTAGCATTGCAGCGGTGGAGCCTTGGATTCAGTTCTGGACCTGCGGTGTTATCTGCATGGACTTTGTTTGTGCTTCCCATGTTTGTGTGTTTTTTACTGGGTACTCCGGTTTCCTCCCACAGTCCAAAGATACTAGCAGGTTAATCAACTTCTGAGAAAATTGGCCCTGGTGTGACTGTGAGTGTCTGTGTTTGTGTCTGCATCTGTATCTGCCCTGTGATGAACTGGTGTCCCATCCAGGATGGATCCCACCTTGTGTGCATTGCTTGCTGGGATAGGCTCTAGCTTCATGAGTGGTTCGATGGATTTTTCATTTAATTATATTTTAAATGCAAAGTGCACCAGACACTTTTTTCATCAGATTCATGTTTTGAAAGTAGAAGTAAAAAGTGCCCTATCACTGTCATATTATTTACAAGGGTAATGCAAGTCACAGTTTCTGGCATTGAACAACAGAAGCAGCTATGGCTCAGTTTACATGAGGATTTTGTAAGCAGTGAACTCACAGTCGCTGACTCTGTTTAACAAACTACACCTGCTGCTCATTGACTGTGTAAAGGGGGGTTGCTGGTAGGAGGAGAGGGGTACTTGCTAAAAAAAGAATAAAACAACACTATACTATCAATAGAACGATAGCCTGCACTGCAGAGGGCTTAATGAATGCACAAATAGCTTTCCAGATTGTCACACCATTGTCACACCAACAGGACAAAAACAGTAAGAAAATCAAATAAGTAAGCATCTTCCATCTTTCTTCTTCCTTTTCCCTTCCTTAAATCTCTAAATTTACTTAGTAGTTTAAGTTTCTCTGTAGACCACCCACAGAAAAATACAATCCAAGCCAGAAATAATTCCAAGTTTTAATCAGCCCCTAACAGTTCGTGTATACATTGTCATCAAAAACATAAATAAATTCCCACAACACCAAACATTTGGTAAAGCAATCAAAATGTTCCCATATATGAAGCCAGTAAAAATTAATATAACACTGAGCACAATTAAAAAGGACCAGACATATAGAGAACCTGAGCGGGAGGCACTAGCATCAACTAGAAATAAACAACTTAATTTACCAAACACCACCCCATTGTAATACTGCATTTCAGTTTTCCATCTACCTCTCAACAATCACACAGTGCTTCCTCCCAACTCAAGTTCCCCATAAAAAAGAATTGCCAGCTGACAGCTATCCCAAACACAGGTCAATTTATTTTGTCAACCCCATCTTTTAGTCATCATCACAGCATAAACAATATCAGCACGTAATTATAGCAACCCAATCGCATGGCTGCTCATAATAAGAAAAAGAGAAAATCTATTGCTTAAACATTTAGAACTTTCCCCCCTTAGATCAGAATGAGCAGTGAGGCCGTTTTATTTAGTTCAGCATAGTCAAAGTCACTTTCAAGTCAAGTTACTTTCGAAGGAATAAGTCTCCGCTGAACCCTGTTTCCATCCAGGGTGAGGACATAGAGGGGGTGCAGTCCTACAAGTACTTAGGGGTACACCTGGATGACAAGCTGGAGTGGTCTGGTAACACTGACACCCTGTACAAGAAAGGTCTTGTGTGCTGGAGCAGCAGCATAATGACAAGAGATGTAAATAGGCTCAATAAACTCATCAAGAAAGCTGTCTCTATGTTCGGGCTGAGCCTTGACCCCATGGAGGTGGTGGCTGAGAGGAGAATGCTGACCAAGCTCACAGCCATCATGAACAACACCTCTCATCCGCTTCATGGGACTGTTATTGGGCAGCGGAGCACTTTTAGCAACAGACTGCTCCAGCTATGGTGTTCGAGGGAACGTTTCTGCAGGTCTTTCCTCCCGGCGGCTATCAGGGTGTATAATGCTGGCCTAGGCTAGGACTGTTAGCCCTTCATTTACTCGTCTATGGACAGCATTATACCTTTTTTTGGACACTCAATCTGTATATGCACATTTTGCACATATTTTATTGTTTTTACAGTGACTATGTATTTATTTATTTTATATTTATTTTGTATTGTTGTACGTATTTTAATTTTCCGTCTATTCTGATGTCTGTTTTTTTTTTGCTTGTCTTGGGATGGACTGCTATAACACATCAGTTTCCCTTTGGGATCAATAAAGTCTCATCTATCTATCTAAATCTGTTCAGCTCTTTCTTAAAAATGGAAAATTCGAGCAGAGAAACAGTCCTAGTGGAAATTCATTTTTTTGTTTTGTTGGGTGAGTTGATTTTGTTTCATGTAGCCCAAGATGGGGGTTGCAACATGGGTTCTGGAGAATACCAGTCTGGCAGGTTTACAGATTATCACTGAATTGTCAATAATCAAAGACATGGAACAGGGTCACTGTAATTAATAACTTCCCAGTGTTCCTAATCTTTTAAAAACAAGTGATAAAGGGTGACCTACAGTGTAAGACAAAGAGGATTTCTAGCATGCCAGGACAAGGGCTGCATGTCTCGGTTACCAGACACCTGTCTGTTATCCAGCTTGCCTTTCCCCTGTTAAACTCAGAAATATTGTTCTTCTTTTATCCATATTCTTTTCAGGGTGAAATTGACAGATGCAGATATGAAGATTTCCTATTCAGTCAACCATGGAGAAGAAGATACAGTCTGTTTGATGATGACATCATACCATATCGTTATGGTAGACACTTTGGGAGATTCCGTACTCATTCAGAAGGCTGTAGGAAAGAATGTGTTTATGTCACCTGGGTCCCTAAGTGCTGCAAAAACCATTATGGAAGAGACTGTCAAGGTAAGGACAAATGCCCTGCATTAAATGTTCGTGTATTTCATCTTTAAATATTTAATTTTAAGCTGTAGTATTATGTTTAAAAGTTTTAGAACTAATATTGTTATTTTTAACATAAAACAAATTATCCACTCAATGGGTAGCAGGAAAAAAACATTGAATTCAGAAATAAATGTCCTAACATTCTCTTTATTTCAAATATTATTTTTAATATTACTGCTTGATTTGTAGGCAGTTTTTAAAACTTAAATTAGTTCATTCAAATTTATATTTCTGAAAGGTATGTAGCATTAATGTTTCTCAATCTGTTTTTGGAATGAAGTCTGAGTGGTGCTATGAATAAAAGGTAATTGTTCTCAATAGCAAGCACAAGGAGTTGTTGAAATTCATTTTTTTCATGTGGATGCTTTACTTCTTGAAAAGACATTGATTTTACTGCAAAGTCATACTCTATCACCCCTGGTGTTGCAGTGTGTCCCGGAGGTCTGGAATCTCCTTGCAGCAACCATGGAGTTTGTACAGATGGGAAATATGGGACAGGATATTGCACTTGTGAGGCAGGCTTCACTGGGACAGCCTGTGAACTCTGTGCACCCAAACGCTATGGGCCAAACTGTACAGGTATCCTTTACTTCCCTTTTTCTTTCATTATAATTAACAACTTAATGAGATATTTTATTAATTTTATTAATTTGTATCAAAATAATTTTGTTTTGAAAAAATCATAAACACTATTACAAATGTGCACACAAATTATCTATTCAAAATTAACTAAAGCTCTGAACACAATTTGTCAATAGTACTCTATGGCCGTAGCAGTCTCAGCTCAGTGTATTTACATGTATAGTGAATCGTCAGTTATTATTAATTAAAATACTAGCTACTCATGATCAAAATCCTGCAGTAACGGCAGCTGTGAACCTTTTTAGTATTGATCAGAGAAATATGAGTGGACCTGGTTCAGGTATCCAAAATCAGTGCAAAAACATTGTGAGCCAACCCCAGTGAACTTGTTTAGTATCAATAGTGAAACACAAACCAGAGACAAAGGTTTGTGGGAGTGTGCGACATTAACCATTTTGTTGAAGCTGATACCCTGCCATATTTCAAGTAACCACTAGCTGTGATCCTTCCTCTTTATCCAACAGTGTTATGTTTGGGAGTGTGTACCCAGCCATGATGCTGAAGTAAATGGGCTTGTTTTCAAGAATCAGCTGGATAAGGTCCTTGCAACAGAATAAGCTAGATAGTTGAATTCTCAGCATTGTAAATAGTTTGGTGATAGTAAATAGTTGTCTTGTCTGAACTCCTGAAGTTTGGGCACCCCTGGCCAAATTTCATGTTTTGTTGATTTTCTAAGTCAAAAGAAGTTAACACAACCTCCGCAGTGAATAAACTTAAACTTGACATATTTCTGCAAATATTAATGGAGTTACTATTTATTTGCTGAATTTAACAGATAACAGATAAAAAATAGTAAATGTGGCATGTGAAAAGGTTTGGGCACCCTATCAATCAGTACTTAGTAACACCACCTTTGGCAGAAATCACAACCTCCAAACGTTTCTTGTAGCCAGCTAACTTGAATATTATTGAATAATATTCAATAATATATAATGAATAATATTAAAAATATTGACATTTCCCCTTCACTTCAATTTCTTAATGACATTTTGGACAGTGGAAATCGCAAGCAGAAAGCATTTAGATATTTTTTATAGCCTTCCTCTGCTTTGTAAGAGTCAATCATCTTTATTTTCTGATCCTCAGTCAGCTGCTTAGAAGAGCCCCTGGTGTTGAGTGTAAGCACAACACCCTGAGTGGTTTGACGCGTCAGAGAATTCATTAAACTCTGGAATTGTCATCACCTGACTTTGATTAAGGCTTAATGAGTCAATTAAGTTATGAGACCTTACAAAAAAAAATAACACTAGTGGAAGGGTGCATTAAGATTTGCAGAAATATGTCAAGTTTAAGTGTGTTTGCTGCAGAGGTGGTGTTAACTTCTTTTCACCTAGAAGATCAACAAAAGATGTTAATTTGGCAAGGGGTGCCCAAACTTTCGCATAAAACTGTAGATGTGTGTTATATAGCGTTTGTGCTGTGTTAATAAAGTATATCCAGAGCCAAATTTAAAAATCTAAAAGAACACACTGAATATCACTGGAATCTAATCTGCCTTTCATAAAACTGATCCGACCAAAATGCCTTAACAATGTGTGACTCCATTTTGGTAACAAGCACGCCAGCATACAGCCAAACAATATTTGAGATAGAGTTACAGCTTGACAAGAGATCTTTACATTTTTAGTAACAGTTTTCTGATCAACCATGTGGTTAAAGCACTTTTAAGCAGCGACTCATAGACTGACTTAATTATAAAACGAACTATATATCAAAATTTCTAGGACCTCTGAAATAAACACATTAGAATAAAAAAACCTTAGAAACAGAGAAAGAATCATAGGTTCAATATAGTTAAATAAATGTACTTTCATATAGTAAATTACATACCTGCTTTACCCTTTTCTCAGTAAACCATACAACTCTGGTAAATCAAGGTGGAGATTTTTTTTATTGTAATAAAGAAAGGAGGACAGACAAAGGTATTGGGTTAACCTTGTCTCTCACTCACTTTCCTAAGGACAGCAATTGAATTTTGTTCTTGAAAATGAGCAAAATTTCCATACAAAAACATACATTTATAATTGGTCAGTAACAGTTTGTTAACAAAAAAAAAAGTTCATCAGCTGAGAGTTTGTGTGTTGAAAGTCATTTTTATTTCATATGCATATGGAAGTCTTGCGTTGGGACACAAGACTTAAAAGACAATGCTTACAGTGCTCTTTATACAGTGAAACAAACGATACAAGATACACTCCCACATGACTCTCTGCTTGCATTGTGGCTTTATATGGTCATTCTAGAAAGCTGACCAGTACATATATTTTCTTTACTGCCAGCTTGCGTGACAAGCAGCCCCTTCTGCTGAATAGACCATTTGTTCCAGGAGAGGTCACTGGTCATTCCCCTGAGAACTATGCCAGCTATGCGTAAAGACCCCATATGGCTATGTTATTTCTTGAGACCAGACATGCTGGGATGGATTGAGTAAAATCTTAGTAAAAAGATACATAGCTAACAAGATATAATACAAACTTTTAGTAAATTCCCTCACATATATAGTTTAAAAAGGTCAGAAAGTTAGGTAGTTTGGTCAGCCTTGCACTGTTAACCAAGAGTCATAATTAGCTAAGACCCCCATTCCCTTTCATGTTGCTAAACCCACATGTAGGATACATGTTTCTAAATAGATAAATATTCATGTAAAAAAAAACAATGAAATGGGCTTCCATCTCTTAAAAGATCACAAAAGTTCCAGCCTCTCATGACAACAACAACAACATCATTTTCTTTAGGAAAATTGATTTAGATATTTTGAGTGTAGCAGCTCAAGAAAACTTTCAGCCCCTCTGTCACTAACCTCTTCCTGATTGATGTGGATTCCTTTGAGTATTACTGGTTTTACCATGTCCTACAGTGACAACAGAATCCCCTAATAATGTGATCTGTCACGATAAGTGTATTGAATATCAGCAGATGACAGTTCACTTTATTATTCTTTGTAGAGCTGCACAGTCTGTGCACCTTTTCTATGCTTAAGCATGACAATTCTCCCAGGAAGGCATCCACTATGATAGCACCCCTGATTCAGGCTGATTCTATCCTTTTGTTTGACCTTACTGTAGAAATATAGTGTGAAAATCTTCCTTAAATCTTTTAATCCTGTTACTTGAGGTTTATTTGTCCAAGTGTCAAAATGTCCAAGTTCCAAGGAGTTTGTCTTCGTAGTATGAGTGTCTTCCAGGTCATCTCTCATGGTTTGTCTAATCAAAACAACATTATCATTCTCAGTTCCTATCAAAAATATCATTATGAGTTAAAAACAATTGACTGCTGTGAATACTTTTATAAATGTATTTAAGTGAACAGCTTGAAATGAGCCTTGGCTTAAGCACACATCCCTGTCAGAAGGTCACTTAGTCTCACTCTTCTTTTTTATAGGACTCAACCAGAAATATTTTCAATATTTCATGGTGTAAGATATATCATATATAATGGTGTGAGATATTATTAATGTTTGTGTATGGTGAGTGCATCCAAGCACAGATGACTCATTTACAATAGCCACCTGAGGTAAGGAATGTGTAAGTGTAAGCTGAGTCAATAAAAAGTAGGAACCAAAAGACGTTCTACCTACAAAGATAAATGAAGCATCAGGTTGTACAAACTGTCAGCTCACGTAGTTCAGTAGATGGCCATTACACTGGATGCCTGCATGCACAGATTCTCCAGCCTTTTCATTCAGAAAGCTATGGACCCATCAAGAGCGCTTGTGTACCTAACCAAATGGTTTTCATGGTCTCAGAATGTACATGTGCTGAAAATGGCAAGTGTGATGAAGGCCTTGAGGGGGATGGAAGCTGCTTTTGCCAAGAGGGATGGAATGGGGACCGCTGTGAGATCAAACTGGGTAAGGAGACAAATAGGGTGTGTAATTCTGCTCTACTGAATAGGAAGTAAGGCGTGTCTGCTGAGATGTTCTGCAGCTAAATCTTTCCTCAGGAGGTTTAGTCAAAAGTGACAGATCATAAAAGCAGTAGAATCTACTAGCGACACAATATAACATAATATAAATACAGACAGGTTGTTGCAAGAAATATACAATAAAGTTGTGTTAACATAAACTCTCTGCCAAAAATCATCTCTGTATTTTCTCTGTAAATCGAAGTAGGTGTTTGAATTTGAAATTTAGGAAGTCATTAACTTACCAAGAGTGAAATAATAGTAAAAGAGACAGTTCCAGCTGGTGTGGGGATGTTTTATAGTTGGTTAAGGAGCTATTATTATGCTTGTAGATCAGCATAGTTGCTTCAATGGAGAGGCAGTGGTGGAACACATTTTATTATTTAATAAATAAAGATCGGAATGCATTTTAAATGTTAAAATCTTTTTTTTTAAATAATTTGTAGGAATGAAGCCTATTTGTGAACCCAAATGCGATCCTAATGCAGTTTGCCAACCTGGAAACATTTGTGTTTGTGATACATTATATGAGGGGGATGGGAGAAACTGCACTGGTAAAACTTTGTTTTAATTTTCTACTTTAAAGCAAGCATTTCATTAGGAGATGAAAGAAGAAAAAATGCGCTAAAGACACCTTTGTTTTTGTTTTATGAACAGCTCCAGATTTCTGCAGCGATAATAGTGGAGTGTGCCATGAGCATGCTGACTGCACTCAGATAGATGTCAATGTCACATGCTTGTGCAAGCTGGGCTATACTGGGGACGGCTACTCCTGTTCGGCTATTAACAGATGTGTGGAGGAGGACAATGGTGGATGTGATGATTTTGCTACGTGCATTTTCACTGGTCCTGTAAGCGATTCAGTGTAGGACATTGGCAATGGTCTCAGCATATGATTTACAGAAACAGTTTAATACTAACTTTCTAGAATAAATCACACAGTTAATTCAAATAACTCTTTACTACATTGAACTGAACATACTAACTGAACACATACAGTAAGTAGTGTTAAGAAGCCACATTTTCACTTCAATTATCTAGCAACATTTAATAAGCATAGAATTAGTGCAAATAAACTTTCACAGTTTGTTTTTCTTTTTGTTTAGATAATATGTACAACAGTGCTTGTAAAGTTAGGAAAAGAAAATCTAAAGTGTCTTCTCAGGGATTTGATCAGTTTGACTTGCCCATTGCAGCAAGTTGAAATATGGAGATTTAACATGTGGTCTAAAGAATAAAGGTGTAAAAGGTGGTGTTAAGTTTTAGAGGCATTGTGGGTATCAAGACCTGTAGAAGCGTTACAGGGTGCATATGAACACTGATTTCCAGGGGAAGAGTATGTGTAAAGTAGCTGAGAAGTATTTAAAGTAGGGAAATGGAAGCTTAAAATATGTCAGTTCTGTTGAGATCAGGAAAACCCGGACAATACTAACAGCAAATATAAATCAAACGACACATCGAATAAGTTTGGTTTTAAAAGATGAATGCAAGAATGTATAACATGTACAGTAGCTCTGATATTTAGGAGGAACTGAAACATAGCTGGGGGAGAATCACAAGAATGAATATAAACTGGGTTCAGGCAATATATCAAAAATAATCTGCAAGCTACAGTACTGAAATAAGAGGATACATTTCAAAATCTATATGGGTGAAACTTAACAAAAGACGTAACTACTGACACAGGTAAAGGTGCAAACAGCTTACTGTATATTGCAATCGATTGAACTGCAATTGATTGTTGAAAGATCTCTAAGCAAGACCTAGAGTACCTTTTTGAAATCCCTGTTGACTAATCCCCTAGAAGCTTCACTTCTGTGCCTGTCTTGTTTTACAGAATGAGAGAAGATGTGAATGTAATGTAGGTTATGTGGGAAATGGCATTCAGTGCTTGGAAAAGGCTGTTCCACCTGTTGATCGCTGTGAGGAGGAGAATGGAGGCTGCCACCCTGAAGCCACCTGCACTGATGTGCATTTTCACGGTGAGGAATCACTGCCTAAAAATATGGGAATTTTTCTGATAAGCCTATTTCTGTCCCAAGGTCTTGACTTTTCTGATCTGAAATTATCTTTGTTTTAGAAAGAACTGCTGGGGTGTTTCACTTAAGATCTACTGCAGGAAAGTACAAATTAAACTACACTGAAGCTAAGGCTGCATGCCAGGCTGAAGGAGCTACATTAGCAACATTTTCTCAAATGTCTGCAGCACAGCAGGTAAATTAATGCATTTAAATATGTCATGTATCACATGATTCTTTAGTCACAATGCTTTTCTGTCTCTTTTGTGTGCTTCACACTATTGTTTTAGAGGAAGTTATACACCAAAATTGTTAATTTTGTTTTGCCCATCTGAAACATTTTTTTAATGCAGTGTGAAATTATCTTCTTTTTACTCCAAGCTTGGTTTCCATTTATGCACTGCTGGCTGGATAGATGGCACACGTGTTGGGTATCCAATCACATTCCCTTCTGTCAAATGTGGCAATAACCATGTGGGAATAGTTGAGTACAAAGATCCAGTTGAATCAAACAAGTATGATGCTTTCTGCTTCAGACTTAAAGGTATTGGAAAGTTATTTTGTTCTCATAATTCATTAGGAATAACAGGAAGATAAAAACTCTTTACAAAAATCTGAACTAGAAGGACTACTGCCTATTCTGTGGTATTAAAATTTATTAGTGACAAACATTAAACCTTACTTATGCATGTATAGTAAGTGGAATTAAAGTATGACCTAGTCTTTTCTGAAACTGGAAATTATTATTAATGAAAATCTTGAATGATATGGGTATATTCTCACAAACGTGCTTTGTAATCACTTTAATGCCACCAGGGGCAGTACTAACATGCTGTCCTTTTCTGAAAATATAGAAGCACACTGCGCACAAAACAATTGCTACAGTGGTAAAAAAATGGTATTGTAAAAGCACATTTGTTCGGTTTGTGCTTCATAAGCTCAAAGCAAGGGCCCAGAATTTTGTCCTGCCAAATGCCAACCGTGAAGCTGGTATTTGGTGGCAGATTTAGTTTATTAAAGACCTCTTTCATCTACTCAACGGACATCAACCATTAATCGATATTTAAATCTAACCTACAGGCTTTTCCAAGTGCAGAGTGAAATGTAAATCACTATACTCTTTTTTTCCAGAGGTGAAATGTGTTTGTAGAAATGGATACATAGGTGATGGAGATTTCTGCAATGGAAACTTTCTGAATGTAGTGGCTACCCAAGCTAATTTTTCACTGTTTTATTCTGTGAGTATTCATCTTTACTGTTTGTAATGTTTGTAATGTGCTGCCTTGCACTTCTGGGACCATAGGCTTAATTCTAGACCTGGGGGGTCGTCTGTGTGGAGGTTTATATGTTCTCCCCATGTTTGCATGGGTTTCCTATGAGTGCTCCGGTTTCCTCCCACAGTCAAATAAATACTAGTAAATTAAATGGCTTCTGGAAAAACTGACCCAGGTATGAGTATGTGCATGTCTATGTCTGCTTGCCATGATAAGCTCTGGCTCCCCCGAAACCCTGAATTTGAAAAAGTGGTTAGAAAGTAGGTGGATAGGAGCACATGGATTACCATTTAGGTAGAAATAGATACCACAATTATTGTATTACTTAAATACCCATGTCTATAAAGCTATGTAAAAAGGATGTTGAAAGTTCCAGTCCTTAATTTCTTCTTGTGTTTTTTTCTAGAAATTGTTGGAGTATGCCAATTCATCTGTAAAGGGAGAAGAGTTTATTAATTTTCTTTCCAATGCATCTATATTTGAAACCTTGTTTGTACCTGCAAATACTGGATTTGGAGGAAATGAGGTAACTTATTTGGTGTAGCTTTTAAGGATGGACATTGACTGGCTTAAATAACAGCTGGATTCAATCCTGCAATCAAAGTTTAGATCTCTGATAGCTTTTGAAATAAAAAATTATTAATAATAATACATTTGTATTATTAAACGTTTATTACACTTTGTTTGGACACTCCACTCAAAGTGCTTTACAGGCAAAGGGGACTCTCCTCTACCATCACCAATGTGTAGCCCCACCAGGGTGATGCAACGGTAGCCAAAGTTTGCCAGTGCGCTCACCACACTCCAGCTATCATTTGGGAGGGGAACTTGTGGTTCTTCTTTTAACACACCAAGTCACTAAGTGACTGCACTGATCACAGTGCATAAATTCACTGAAGAGGAAAATACCATAGCTTCATCCTGGGAGGTCAGAGGTTTATGATGAATACTTTGACAATGTTAAATACTTTTCCTAGACATTATCCTGGAGGGACCTGGAGTATCATGTCTCTGTTAACAACAGCTTCACTTTCTATGCTGACCTATCCCATGGCAAAGTCATACCTTCTAGACTGGGTTACAACCTCTCTGTGGCAGGCACTAGCCTCATAGGCAGATCACTCACAAATGTAAGTATCACTGTGCATTCCTCTTTTTGTCTGCACAGGGGACAGAACTTCCATGCAAGAGTATAAACTAATAATTTCAATAGTTTTTGAAAATTGTATCTATAGACATATTAAAACTTCAATATTAAAAATTCAAAGCTAAACCAGAACAACACTATTAAACCTGTTATACTGCTGGCTGGTCGTAGCCGGTTAGTTTATTACAATGCCATGCTACGATGAGCAACAAACTGCACCTTCTGTCTTAGGAAAGAATATTATGAGGTTTTTAAACATGCATTCAGGTAATCAAAGCAGATGATAATTTAGTGAAGTGTTACTATGAAACTGTCTTTTGTCTATAGGGCTCCAAACTGATAAATGAACAGCTGATCATAGAGTGGGATATCCCAGCTACCAATGGAATCATCCATGTAATTGAAAAGCCACTGAGGGCACCACCTGTACCAGTGAGTATTGTTAGTATTTTCAATAGATTCCAAAAATATGCACATGAAGAAGTAAAAACGTTAAATAGGTTCCATATCTTGTATTTATTGTTTATTATATGCAGTACAATCCTTTACAGAAATGAAACCATGCATAGTGTACTTTACCTCAAATCCAATTTGGTACCCTGTGCACGCATAGCATACCTGTACAATGTATGTGCTGTATGAATCATTCCAACATTTTTGCAATGTCACCATGTGATCTTTGTGCTAATGATACTGCTGAATCCACTGCTAACTTCAGAGGCTCTGTAACTTTGAAAACAAGGGCAGTGCAAGGCAGATGTACTGATTACGTAATTATATAACTCAGTAAATGATCCAAAGCAAAACAATCCAACATTAAAATATATATAAAAATATATTTAAAAACCCTTAGTAACTACTGTATATATGTAGACTGATTATAAAAATACATAACAAAAAAAACATTTAAACATGCAATCCAACTGCAAATTGAATACAAAATAAACATCACCACTTTTATTTTACACTAAGTTAATTAATGCTTGCAAAGCAGTTTTGTACTATTTCAACTTTTTGAATTTTCTTTACTCAGTGCAACACAGCATCATAAACACAATCCAAAATTTTAAGTTAGATTCACAAATGCAACAAATCAATTCAATTGAATTTAGTGTAACAATCATGAACAATCAACATGTCATGATCAGTAAATGCAAAATGAAAATTAAATTTAATGTTTATTCTCAATGCTAATGCTTAATATAAGGGCGGATCATGAACTTCAACACCAGGTCAAGCTGGGCCAAAAATGGACATTCCAATGGAACTATGATCTAAATAGATAAATATGTTTTAACTGCACACATAAATAAATAAACAAATAAATAAATAATGAACAAGTAATAGGTTAATTCCATGCTGAAAAGAGAAGAAAGAAATAACAATGTTTCGGCTGTGGAGCCTTCTTCGGGTGTGAGAAAGACACAGTAGTAGAGGATGTGGGAACAGGAAAGAGGCAGAGAGGCCACACACAGGTGGTGCGAAGTGGAGAGTGGTGAAGAGAGGTGTGAAGTCGAAACCTGCATGTGAATAGAGAAGATTACATGAAAACAAGTCTGTCATTGAGAGAAGGGGGAAGGTGTGAACCAAGTTTCAGGATAATGTCTGTTTTTGATGTCTCTCTGCTATGAAAGTTAAGAGACCTTCTTTGAGAACGCAGACAGAGAGATCAGTGTGATCAGGGCCGTCTGAGATGAAATTAGAAACTATGGACTTCGAGAAATCTTTAATCTTCACAGCCCTGACATGTTCTCTGAAGCAGTCTCCTAGTCTCCTTTTCTGCTTTCCCCAACGTAGATAACTCGGCATTTCCTGCAAGAGATACAGTAAATGAGGTTGCTGGAGGTACAAGAGGTTCGCCTGGGTGATCCAAAACTGTCCCGAGGGGCCTTGAATGAGTGTGGTGTTAGATGTGTACTTGCAGGTGATGCAACAAGCTCTGTTGCAGGGGAATGTACCTGGTGTGGATGATTGTTGAGGGAGTCAAGGGAGCTGTGAACAAGAAAGCTAAACTACTTCCAAATAAATAAATAGTCTCCAAAGGCAATCTCAACAGCCAACCCTTAATCCATTTGTGATTCATACTCAAGATGGTTGTTCACAAAAAAAAAATGAATAATCTGAAGCATGTAGAGCATTTCTGTCTAGAGCTTTGTCCCTCCTTATAAATTCCTTGTGGTCCCTTGACCAGTTATGAAGGTAGAAGGTAAGTGAACAGGACTCTGCAGGAGAGCAGAGCAGAGTAGCAGCCTGAGGAGCTAACAGCTATAAGAGAGAGATGCACAAAAATTAGCAAACCACACTGAAACAAGGTTATTAAATCAGCTTGAGGGTGAAATGGGTGAAAGACTGATGAGCTTGTAGAAATCAAAATAGTTTTTCCATTTCTTTTTTCTGTTAGGAAATAAGGAGTGCTGCCAAGTCATACGCTGTCATTATTTCAATAGCTATGGTGATAAGATAGTTACAGTGATAACAATGACCTTGCTTGTGCTGTGCTACAGAGATTACAGCATAACATTTTTAAAGTCTTTTAAGTAAGACAATTTCCATTCAGTAGATTTTTTTGTAATGTTTTCAGTTCCTATTTCATTATTTTCATTTCTATTTCATTAGGGGTAAGAATAGCAATGGAGACTGTATATATATACTGTAGTAGTTCAGGTGGGTAGCTGTGTCAGCATGCGTAGGCTGCAAAGGAACAAGTTATAGGTTTATTCCATGCTGAAAAAAAGAAGAAAGAGAACACAAC